CTTCTAATCTTTGCTTGGGAGAGTATATTCTTAAGTTATTTTGATTTGTCTTCGGTTGGGGTTGTTGGTCTTGTTGTAATTGAAATCCCTCTAACCAAGTCGGATTCAAACAGATAACCACAATCAAAATTGAAATTAGTTATGGTTTAGTTTCGGTCCTAGTGGAGAGAAAAAAGAAAGGTACAGAGAGAGAAAGTGGCTGTTCGATAATCCCTTAAGATGCAAGAAAGGAAGCTCCTTTTGATTCACCAGCTAATTAATAATATAACTCTCTCTAGTTAAGATCCTTCATCTTCTTATTAGGGTTTCTCCGGATCGGAAGATGATAGATTTCAGTCGAGTCCAGAAGGAGCTCCAAGATTGCGAGAAAGACAAGGACGCTTCGAATATCCGGGTCTGCCCCAAATCCGATAACCTCACCCGACTCACCGGAACTATTCCTGGTCCAATCGGCACTCCTTACGAAGGCGGTACCTTTCAGATCGATATCACGATTCCAGGTCCGCTCCAAATTTGCATTCAAAAGCCCTTTCTTCTATCTATTATTGTGCTTTGATTCTGGAGTATTCCAATACCCAGCGCTTAGCTCTCGTGAAATATGGTGTCGGTGAAGTTAGGGGGCTTCACTTGTTTTTGCTTCGATTGGTTTAGGGTTTCTTCGAATTTCATGCCCAGAAAATGATCTTCTCGATTGTTTACTCGATTGCTGGTGAATGAGAGTGTAGGTAGTTCATATTTTGGGGTTTATGGGGTGCATGATTCCTCTTGTGTTATGTCCATAATCATTCGTTTTTTTAATTTGTCGATTGACAATTGCAGAAGGGTATCCGTTTGAGCCCCCAAAGATGCAGTTTTCAACCAAAGTTTGGTAAGAAGATGACTCTTATTCTTAAATATCAACCACTGCAAACTATGTATGCATATACTATGGAGATTGAATCATTGTTATGCATAACTCTTTAATCTGTTTCATGGATTTAAATGTTTTGCTAGTGGCATATATATTTCCTTGGGGTGTTGGTTTGATAATCTTTGGTTAGATGTGTAATCTTTGGTAATGTTGTCTTACGGTTCTCTGTAACCTGTCTCTACATACACTTTACCATTACAAATTAGGCGTATATATAGTAGTCTTAAGAATATATGAGCGATGCATTGTGTGCTAAATGCTAATAAAATGGTCTATCTTCGTTGATTCATCTTAATTCTTAATCAAACCCAAAGGCACCCAAATATAAGTAGCCAAAGCGGGGCAATATGCTTGGATGTCTTGAAAGACCAGTGGAGTCCAGCTCTTACTCTGAAGACAGCTCTTGTTTCAATCCAGGCATTACTCTCTGCACCAGAGCCCAAAGACCCTCAAGATGCTGTTGTAGCTGAACAGGTTCTTGTACATCACCTTAATCATCTTCCGTGTTTTCCCCTTTTCTTAGTCAATTTGAAGCAATTCGTCTTCTCTGATGCTCGCAGTACATCAAGAGCTATCAAGTGTTTGTATCAACAGCTCGTTACTGGACCGAAACATTCGCCAAGAACTCTTCAATAGAGGAAAAAGTGAGTTGTTGGTATGGATTCTAAAAGTTTTGACAAAATGTCAGTGTCCGAATTGTGTATTTAAAAGGTAAGTGCTGGATTTGATTTGTCGCAGGTGAAGAGACTTGTGGAGATGGGTTTTGGAGATGCTCAGGTTAGGAGTGCTATTGAATCAAGCGGTGGAGATGAGAACATGGCGCTTGAAAAGCTCTGTTCGGGTTAGAATGTATACCAAATTGGTGCTAGATATGATATTGATTTGGGTTATAACTTTATTTTGCTGCGTTTCTGCTCTCTTGCCTGATGATAAGGGTGAAACTGCTTACTAAATGCAATGCTAGATCCATAAAAGAAGATCTTATCTAGTTTATTCAATGTGTTTTGGCTGATATAATTATTTAAGAACGAACTGGAAGCTGAAGCCAAAATTTTACTACACCAATTCATACTAAGTTGAGATTTTTTTTTTTACCAATGAGATGAAACAAAAATCTAACGGAAATTCAGATTGAACACTGGTTAGTGAAATTGAAAACTCAAATATGAATATGT